GTATACAAAATAGATTTAGATTATTATGATATTTTAAATCTAAAAATAGGATAATTTTCCTTAAGTGTATAAATATAATAATAAATCAATCAAATGGACATGAATTGACAAATACAATTGCGATAGAAAAAAAAATTAATATATATATATTAAGATGTTATTTGTTGTTCATTACATATTATATATATATATTAAATTATATATATATATTATATATATATATTAAGATGTTATTTGTTGTTCATTACATAATGTCACATCAATAATAAAGATGATAGAGATGAATATCTCATAAAGTAAATTTTTGGCAAGAAAAAAGATCTCAAGGGATAAAATTTAACATTAAACTCTATGGCAGACTTTGAAATTTGAATATATCGTGCTCTAAAAGATTATGAATTTTTGATTAAAAAACTGCAAACATTCAAATACAATATATACAATTGAATTTAGATTTACATAAATACATTGTTAAAACTTGAATAAATTATTTAATTATATTTAATTATATTTATAATAACAAAGTAGTATAAAATAATCTTTATTTATTGAGGATTTTTTACTTAATCAGTCCACTTGGATACTTTTTTTTCTAATACTATTGTATCATCTGATTTGACCACAGCGTGATAATTATTCCTTTTTTGATCAGAATTCATATAAAATATATATCCTGAGCAACCCAACATTGCTACAATACCAAAAATCATAACGGCTTTATTCTGTAAATAACATTTCACTTAATCTTGACAATATTAAACTCGATGTCGATTGAAATTTTATTAATACTTGCAAATCTTACCGGTTTGGTGTATAATTCGAAGTTAATGACACGAAATAACGTAGTGCTCCGTAATGATCGTAAGCCATCACCTGGCGTTGTTTTGCGAGTATTTTTATTCATCGCTTTATCTCTCGGTTACACGATCTTTTTATTAAAACACGCTTACGTACAGAAGATTATCTAACCTAGCATGACTCGTTTGCCGAGATTGGATCAGTATGTGCTTGGTTTATAACTGGAAAAAAGTAAGGAAAAGATATCAGTCAAGAGTTAAAATCGCGAAAGAAACATTTATTCGACGTATGTATGTATATCATTTATTTGACAGTATCAAATGAACCGCACCCGAAATCTTATTGGCTGTAAGATAATGACAGAGTCGCGCAGCCATATTGGCCATGTTGCGGCATACTCGTAGAATTCCTCAAACATATATTTCATGATACAGAGCAAGTTCTTGACAAAATAGAGAATTTGCGCGTCTACGCGGAAAAGTTTTTCTTAAACTGTGCAAATTCAATAATGTCAAAATGAGAGACATTGTCCTTTTTTGAAGAGTCTTATATTTATGACCTGTTTGCTTTCGAACGGGAATGAAGCTAATATAAGAAGAGAGGTAAGTAGATTTCTAAACTGTTTCAACATCGCGTCCAACGGTGCAACATGTCAAATTTTCAAAGACGATTTGTTCAAAAGATATACAAATAAAAGCTTGTTTCTTTTAAATCCATCTTTTGCATTAATATTTATTTTCATTTTATAATAGAGAGAGATTGGAAGAAATAAAATTTCTTTATGCCGTTTATTGAAATATAATCAAGTGAAATATAATATACTACGTGTTTTTTTTTGCCTTGGTCCATTAACTTTGCTGTTATTCCAAATTTGCAGATTGTTTTCTACATTCAATTGATCAGAAATGCCAGGTTGCGCAGCTATTGGTTGCAATAATCGCAGCGAAAAGGGATTTATTATGAAATGTTTTCCACGTGATCCAATATTAAGAAAAATTTGGCAGGACCGCGTGGCTAGAGCTGATTGGGAACCATCCAACAATTCTTTTCTTTGCCAGGTACATTTTGAACCCGAAGAATGGTTTGTAAGCGAAACTGGTAGACTCAAATTAAAAAAGAACGCTGTTCCTTCTATATTTACTATAACGTCAACTAGAAAATCTGCCAAAAAACGTCTTAAGTTAACAAATGTCAAGAATGAAAACCAATGTGAAAACGATTGTTCGACAGAATCTTTAGAAAACGACACTGAACATTCATCAATTGGCCACTTGGAAGAAAAGGATTCTGATTCGCAGGATGTTGATCCATCTATACAAACGCTTGTATATCAAGCGAATAATTTTCGAAAAAAGATGGAAGATAAACAAATATCTCATAGACAATATATAGATATTACAAATGATCTTCAACGAGAAAATATTATTATAATTTCAGATGATAATAATATGGAGATGGAGATCAATATTAAAGAAAGCGATACCGAAAAGCAAACATGTGTAGAAAATGAAAAATCTGTTAGTGGTTGTATAGCAAAGAAAAAATCAACTGATAATCAGGATGAGGATGTTGTTATAAAGACTGAAATAAATCAAGTCTTTGATGATAGTTATGATGAAATAGAAGAGAAATTAAAACAAATTTGTGATGGTCAACATGAAGAAAACGTTTCTAATATGGAGAAACAGAATTCGATATCCAGAAATCGTAAAAGAGCCTTAGAAAAATCAATAGCACAGATGTCGGTTCACAAAAGTATAAATTATAAATATTCAACGAGGAATGAAATTGGAGATATGCTTACCGACGATAGAGATAATATTGAAATAATCTTTGGTAGTGAAAGCGGAGAAGAATTTTCACGCGTTCCTAGATATACATTTTATAATAACAGCAAAACTAATGATATTGATAAACAAAATCAGAACATAGATATCGATAATATTGCTAATAAAGAGATTGATGAAACGTGTGTTGGATATATAAAAAAAGATGTTTTAAATCGCAGAGAGAACGTACACACATCGAACGTGACAACTGCTATGAAATATGAATGGAGAACTGGAGAAGAAGTTACAAAGTCTATAAAAAGATTCGTTCAAAATGCATCTTTTCAACATACAAATTCTACGAGTAATAGAGATACTTCGGACATCGATGTAGAAGATGAAATAAAAAAGGAACTGAACATGTCTGACATGCAATACAGCAAAGATGATGCTATATTACATACGACAAAATTTATGGTCAAAGTGACAGGTGACCGTGAGGATGTGCTTGATATTATGCAAGATTTATTTAGAGATACAAAAAATTTTACCATCCAAGAACATGATAATTGTTTACAACAAGGAAATAATAGATCTGTTACATCTATCATAATAATAGACGATTGTCCGATAAAAGTAAATACCACAAATAAATGCAATGACGATGTTTGTTCGACAAATACGAATACTGCATTAAGAGATGATCAAGCATCGTTTGTTCTGTCGGTTTCAAAAAACAATGAATGTCCAATTACAAGATTACCGTCACCAAATACGAGTGAAGAGAAAAATTTAAACGTAAATAGTATCATTAACAACGCTACCGATCATCAATCAATAACGAATTATACTAATAAAAGTGAAAATGTGAAATTGCAAGAAAAAGTGAAGTTGCAAGAGGATATTATCAGAGAACTAACCAATCAGATTATTTTGCTCAAGGATATGGAGAAACAACTGCAATATAAAAATTTGACACTTAGAGCAAAGACGAGAAAAATGGAAAAAAGGATGAATGACTCGAATAAAAGTACGGATAGCACACCGTCTTCAATGAACTATAAACAAACAGATATGAGACAAAGAGTGATTTATAATCTATCCAATAGAATGAATACCCTTGAAGAGATAAATAAAAAATTAATGAAAACTATAACTATAGAATGTCAGCAAAAGAGGCAATTGGAAAGTCAAATCAAGCAAAGAGACAAACGAATAAAAGAGCTTAACTGGAAATTGGAAAAAGCTTCAAAATATCTTGATCGAGCAGAGAAAAATACAAATACGTACAAGAGGAAGATGTTAAATATGCAAACTTTTATAAGAAGAAAACGGCTTCTAGACAGCGGAAATACAAGTAAATTCCACGAAATAATGATAGACAGCGTGAAGGAAGACTATTCTGAAAGAGTTTTAATAATGGCGATGGAAATTAAAAAAATCTGTGGTATAAACGGATACAAAAAATTGTTAAACCTTGGATTTCCGCTTCCCGCATTGTCGGTTTTGCAATCCGCGCTCAATGACGGTATCTCAGATTCTAATAAAAGTGACAACAAAATTGATCGAGCGAATCTTTTAGAAACCGATACAAATGAAAAACATGATACTCAGTCTACGAACAGTAACGCGGACGTTAGTACGAGGAATCACGCGGAAAACGCAATATCGTTCGGCGGAGATATCAACGTGATAGAGAACGTGGAAACTGTAACCGGCACGGTTCAAGATATTTTCGAAGAAAGTAACGATGAAGATGATTTTAGTACAAATGAATTGAGAGACCATTTTATTTTGCAATTGAATGCGGTTATATAATATGATCCTGGATCGATAGCATATATGCAAAATTTTATGTAATCTTTTATCTTATACCTATGTATTATAATAATAATAATAATAATAATAATAATGACATGTAAAATTTACAATTTCAATATATCATTGTATAATAATCTCATCAATTATATAAAAAAAATATCAATATTATTTATTGTACATACATACAGTGACATTTCACGCGTTGTAGCCTTGAATTTTGTTTCGGATAACTTGTATAACTATAACTTTATATGTATAAGATGTGTAAAAATATTTTTAAAAGTATGTGTATACATACATGTGTGTATATGACCAATCACATTTTTGACATGACAAATTTTACTTTCTTTTAAATTATAAATTATTATATTAAACTGTTATTTACAAACCTTCTTGTATTTTTTCAAATCTATTCCATTTTTTTCGGGATGATACGAGGAACGAGGAACGCATCTATCAAACTTTTACAATTGTCGCAAGATCATTGACGCATCCCTCCACTTCTGGAGGGATCTGTGATTCGAGTAGGTAGGTAGGTAGGTAGACGATGTATACATTTTACCTGTCATTTTAATTGGAGATTTCATTGAAGCATTGAAATCGGCGCGTTGCTCCGTTACCGCGTGACGGCATGACGGCGCGATGACGTGAACGAAACGGAATCGAAAAATCGGTCGGCGCACGGTCGACTCGGTGTCGGTGTTCTGCGTTTCCATAGCGATGCTTTCTTAGTTGCCAGTTTTCTTGCCGTGCAAACCTGCAAGCGGAAGTCATTCTTCTAATATTCTAATATTGCTCGGGATAAATAACGATAAATAACTTGCACGTTAAAACTTTGTGTTCACTACGCGTTCTATACACCAATTCTCTATTTATATATACATTTTTATAAATAAAAATGGCGACAGCAATCAAAGAGCGTACAATTCCTGCCATGGACACGCTAGTCAAGTATGACAATCCAGTTTTAATAACGACTCATCCAGAGAAGGTGCGACACATTTTCATCATTATTTTCAACCGTTCACTGTTTTTATATAAATGTTTATATAAATATCGGATTTCTCGGAAAAGATCAATGCAATTCACGTAATAATCATGTGTACATGTCAAAGCAATAAATATATAAAAGTATACACTTTTGCTTTATACATTTTTCTTTCCTTTTTTCTTTATTAAACAACAGATACGTAAAGATTCACCACTGACGAAGATCGGTATAGGTCCTTGTAAAATTCAAACAACCCCGATTTCGGCTGATACAACACGACGGGAAACTATCGAAATTTTAAATAGAATTTTGCCGCCGAAGGAATGGGAAGAGGATGGCCAGATATGGAGTCAACGTGTATTTAAATTAGAAAGCACTTTTTTAGAAAGCAAATCTATATTCTTAATCACGCGACATATAATAATTGAGAAATAAAATGATATGCGCTACTTAATGATATGGGTACTTTACTTAGGTATCGAGTACTCCCGCAACGAGATTGGATGTAATAAATTTACAAGAGCAACTTGATATGCGATTACAACAAAGACAGGCTAGAGAGACCGGTATCTGTCCCGTTCGTAGACAGCTCTATACTCAATGTTTCGGTAGGCTTGTACATATGCATGCTCACGGATTGCTTTATATTTAACGTACAAAATAAATTGAAATTTAATACATTTGCAGAGTAACCACAATTATTACCACAATTTCAGATGAATTAATACGACAAGTAACTATAAATTGCGCCGAACGTGGATTACTTTTATTGAGAGTAAGGGATGAAATCAAAATGACACTAGCTGCATATCAGACATTGTATCAAAGTAGCATTGCTTTCGGGATGCGTAAGGCATTGCAAGTATGTATCCACATATCCTTATGAATTTTATATATATATATATATATATATAGAGGTAAGGCAAATAGATCGAATTTATACGATCATTGACAAAAAGAACTTATTTTTATAGGCAGAACAAGGCAAAGAAAATTTAATTAATACAGCCGAGGAATTGAAATTACAAAAAAATTGAATTGGAGAGAATGGTCGCGAAATTAAGGCTCAAGTATGATCAATTTGAGAAAAGATCAGCTGAACTAAGAGAAGCGGAAGAAAAGAAACATGCGGAGGAAGTGCAATTCCTTAAAAAAACGAATTTGCAATTAAAGGTAAAATGTCTATTTCGATTTTGAAACAATGCACACCTCTCTCTATCTAGAAATTATATTGTACAAATATTAAGATATTTTACTGCGTACAACCCATTTTGTTTTGTAAATAAGGTTTGATGAAAGGTAAAAATGAGAATTGAAATATGAAAAATACAATATTTTTTTGTATTTTCAAAAAGAGTGAGAATATATTAATTATATCATTAATTATAATTTTCAGACTCAGTTGGAAGGTATTATAGCATCAAAAAAATAAGAATTGTGATGCCAAGAGAATCTCAATTTAAAGTGTAGTATTTTATAGTGGACATGACGTATTATTCACAAGAATGATGTGTGTGCACTTGTATGTGTATACGTGCATATGTATAATTACTTGAATAGAGATAAAAAAATTACACGAGATTTCAATAAATGCATACTCTATGAATAAAATAATAACAATTTATTGCGAATAAGCGCACAAATTATTTTTATTTTTACATAGTCATTTTTTATATTGTATCCACGTATAACTTTTAATCCTAAATTTGACAAAATATCTTAAAAGATATTATTGCTTGTCACCATTTGTCATTTGGATTTAGAAAATTTCAGGTGACAAATTCACAGAAAAGAAATACAAAGTATAAACATAATAGCGTAATTAGAAAAAGCCTTTTATCTTCAACGATCTGTAATGCTCGTAACTAATCGCTATTTATAAAGATATTTCCTTTATTTTATAAATAAGAATTCGAAACATAGATTTGAACATGAAAACTGAAAAACTTAAAATTTACGCCCTGCACAATTATTTATCATGATTTATGTAATATATTAATCTAATTTATGTTTTATATCATGCGTGTGTGATGTCTAGTGTTTCTTACATTCTTCCACAATTGTAAATTTATTTAACTCCACTTATTTACATTCATTGGACGTGTCTATTTGCAATTAATTTGCATTTCGCTATCGCAAATGAATTATATGCATATTTACGACATATTTTTTAAGTTAAC